AAAAAATAATATGCTAGCACCTGGGGGGCATTGAGTAGGGCCTCTTTACTACCGAAATGGACTGGCCACCCTTCACCGACATGCTATTTGGTTTTTGCTAATATCTTGGATGCTGATCACCGGCTGCTTATTTCCCACCATCTAAGAACTGTATCCGCACTTGCACCCCCTGTCCCGTAACCTTTTTTGCCGCCTGTATCCGCACGGCTAGCCTTGATTCCTCGCATTCTATAAAGTGTCGGTGTCGGACTTGCCGGAAGGATTTCCTTCCAGCCGGCAAGGTACAAGTACCTCAACGGCTGGAAGGAAGCCCTTCCAGCTGGTCCGTCACCGACCCTTTATAGAGGGCGGGTATCCAAGGGTACCCGCTCGGATACCCGCTGCGGCCGAAGGATACCCGACAGCGGGTGCGGGTGCGGATGCGGATGCCTAGATGGCTGGAAAAAGCAGCCGGATATCCGCATCCGTGCAGATATCCGGATGCCAATTGCCCATCTCTAAATCTGATACAATCATTTTGGCAGTGAGAGGGCCCTCCTCAATGCCCCCAGGAGCAAGATATAATTTGATGTGCACCTGGGGAATTGAAAAAAAAAAAACAAAAAAAACAATAAACACACACACACTCCCATGATTTTCATCTTTTGCAATATTGCCCCTAAAGAAGATAAGAAGAATGATCTATATAATTCCTAGATGATGATGGGCTGATTTGCAAATTAAACATTTTTATTCTTTTCCAGAGTTTTGATTGGTGATTGTAAACTCCAAATGAGTACATACTAAAGAAGATAGGTCAAGAACCCCATGAATGTATTTCTCTACTTCTTCTGGTTTTAACAAAGCAAAAAAAAAAACAGGCTCAAGACCAGTTGTGAGCTGTGTCCATTGATCACAACATCAATCAATAAGTAAAGAAGAATCATATTGAACTACGACTATAAATGTCTCAGTTACACAATCAATGAACTACAATTTTTGTTTGCTGTTTAGTGATTTACACTAGATGATGTACATACATAAAATGGAAAAATATACAACAAAGATGGTTTTGTAGAGTAGGAAAAAAAAGAGGTAAGGTGGGTTAGTTCTAAACCCTATTGAGAACACCAGGAGGTGAAAAACAAAAGTTGGCAGAACGATAGATTTCAACATAAAGAAGGCTATTATAAGAAGGGAGCTTTCATGAGGGCTGAGGAAGACGACGACGATAGTGATTAAGGAAGATCGAGAGAGAGACGAAGAGAGTTTCGATCTGCGATTTGATAGACATTGTGATTCCCTGGCCGATGAAGACCTTCAGGAGTTTAGCCTGCAAGCCAGTATAGAGAGCGAGGAGGCCGAAGCGACGATAACGGATGAGGAGTGTAAGTTGTCGTTGGTGGTGGGCGGATGGCGGGGAGGTTTGGATCAAGGTCTTGGAGAGCATGAGTGGATAGGTGATCATCGTCGACAGACTCGAGGCGATCGCCGAGTTCAGAAACGTGACCAGCAGTCCCTCCGGATTCGTCCCACCCGGCGCGCGCATCCTCGCGCTCGTCGTCGTAAGGTGTTTGATCAGCTTGGTCAGGTACAGCGTCAAGGACGGATTCAAGGTCAGGATGCAATTCTTTCCAAAGCCTGACCAAAAGCCTCGGTAGCCCCGATCGTCATAGATCGATTGAACCGTGTTCACAAGATACGAAATGTACGTTGAGTGTTTCGCTTCCCAGTTCGACTCATCTTCGTCGTCTTGATCTTCTTCACTTGAGCTTGAGTCGGACTTCGATAAGAACCTATCAGAGCGTTTTCCATCCTTCTTCTCCGGCAAGTTGTTTCCATCTGGATCTTGATGCTCGTCAGGGTGAGAAGAAAAGATCCTCGATGGATGCGAGGATCTCAAACGAGACAGTTTGGAAGGGGAGCAAGTTTGCAATCGGATGGTGATATTATTCAAGGGGCAGGTGAAGAATTTGGAGACGATTCCGGTGAGCGAGCCCAAGATGATTTCCTCGAGGGTAGATTCGAGCGGGCCGATCTTACGTTGAGTGTGTTTCTTATATCTGATATTGAGCTTGTTCAAGTTGGTGTAGATGTAGAAGTAGATGAAACTGTTGATCAAGGTGGCAATCGAATCGACGAGGATGCCGTCGTAAAACTTGAGGAGCAAGTTCCAAGAGCGTTCGTCTGATTGGTGGATGATCGTCCGGAAGGATCCGATTAATGTCTCGTAATCCTTCGATCGTCTTTGAATTGATGTGCAAGTGGAGCTGGTCGAGAACTGGGATGCTAGGGAAGACTGCCGATCGAAGCTAGGCCTTGCATTTTTCGCAGTCCTTCTCAACCGTCTCGTCTGCATCCTAGTCGTAACCTGGAGGGAGAAGAAAAAAGAATTCCAACTATGAGTTTTATGTCTGAGGAGATGAAACATTCTACATAGTCGATAGATGATCTTGTACCTACCAGATCAAGTGGATAGACGATTGCATTGGAGATCACTGAGCCGATAGCTGCACTGGTTGCTTGTGTGATAGCCGGTAGGTGTGCCAGATTGACGGGGGCAGGCTGGTCTTGCTCTTCCGAAACTTTCATCTTCCTGAAGAATTGTGTAAGGTTCTTGGTGAAGCTGTCTGCTGGAAACTGATCGAGTGAGCTCAGCGACTTCCGAATCCGAATAAGGTTTCAATCACACTGGCCAGCAACCTTAATCTGCCTCACTTGATAAATAATATGTATGGTCTTGCAAGTGTTCGCACCTCACACGGGAATCTCGGAGAAGAGGATGAGAATATGGTAGATTCCGTAAGGTCTCTGTCCCGGATCTGCATCCGGGGCAGAGATATATAGGGACTGCGGCGAGTCTCAGGGTTCGTAACCCTCTCTGGGTTACAACACCCCCCCTCTCGCCGTAGAACCCTACCTACGTACAAAATCATGAAAACAAAATAGAAAATAAGGAGAAACAGAACAAAAAATGACACTAGGGACAAGTTGAGAGATAACAACGGTAGGGCACAAAATAACTCAGTCACCCATGATCCTTGCTCTCAGCAACTCGAAAGGTTCAGGAGTGAGACACTTGGTGAAGATGTCGGCCAACTGATCCTTTGTCCCAATCCACCGTAGCGTAGTCTTCTTTTGGAATAGCGCCTCATTTGCTATGTAGAAATCTCTGTCCGTATGCCTTGTTCGCTTGTTGGAGGCATCGTCTGTCGCAACTCTGATTGCGGATTGGTTGTCGCAGAACATGTGGCCCACCAAATCTTGTCTGAGGACGTCTCTTAGCAAATGTCGGACCCAAAGAGTTTGCCTTGTCGCCGTTCCTAGGGCCATATACTCAGCATGGCAAGTTGACGAAGCCACTGACTGTTGTCGCCGAGATACCCAGAGAATTGGACAATTAAGATAGGTGGTTAGTATACCATAAGAAGATCTAGAGAATTCTCCACCCCACGACGCATCACAGAAACATTTGAGTGGTTCCTTGTCGTGGGATGGGAAGAGATGAAGTTTAAGCTCCCTCGTGCCTGCCACATAGTTAATTAGGTGCGCCAGACCCTTCCAGTGCGTTACCCCTGGCTTGGCTGAGAAACGTGCCAGGTAGTTAACCGCAAAGGCTATGTCCGGCCTGGTACCTACTGCCAGGTAGCTGAGGGAACCGATGATTGAGAGATATTTCGTGGCCTTAGTCTCATCGCCGTCGGGGTCAGTAGTTGCATTGAAACCGGAAGGTAAAGGAGTCTTCGCGATTGAGTTGCCATCCCATTCTTGATCAAGTATCCCTTGTACCAGCGCTCGCTGTCCAAGTGTAAAACCTCGGGTTGATCTGGTGACTTCTAAACCTACAATGGAAGTTAGCTCGGAAGACCATTTTATCTTCAACAAATCTTTCAGGTCAGTCTCTAACTTCTTTAGCAAGCGCTCTGACGAAGCTGTCATTACTCCATCGTCTACATGCAGCCACACTACACCTAGCTCTTCTGGGTGGCGAAGAATATACAGGCTATTATCGTACTGGGAGGGTGAATAGCCAAACTTATCCAGGAGATCCTTGAGGTGAAGCCACCAGCATCGGGCGGCTTGCCTTGTTCCATATAACGCCTTCTTCAGCAGGAGGCCATGTCCAGGCGGGATTGTCATTCCTTCAGGTGGTTTCACCCAAACTTCCTCATCGATCGGTGAGTTAAGGTAGGCGGCCACAAAATCAAAAGTATGCACGAGCCAATTATTTGCCGCTGCAATTGTCAGTAGGAGGCGAAGGGAAACAAACGTTGCCGTAGGCGCAAACGTTTCATTGAAGTCTTTCCCTGCTATCTGTGCAAAACCTTTTGCCACATATCGCGCCTTGAAACGAATCCCTGACCCATCGACGTCAGGTTTCGTCGCGAACACCCATCGTCCCCCCAATTCTTTCTTGTCCGGGGGCTTCAGAAGTAGTTGCCAAACCCTCATTTGTTCAAGGTTGGACAGTTCCACAGCAATCGCTTTCGACCATGCATCTTTTTCGTCGGATTTCATCGCTTGTCTGAAAGTCTTGGGCACTGAAATTGAATAAAATTCACACATCTCTAAGATCTTATCAACGATCAGCTCCTGATTAGTAAATTCTATTTCATTAGAGAAATCTCCCAGTTGCATCAGGTTCATGATGAAATCAAGAGACAGTTTAGCGTTCTCTTTGGGAAGATCCTTCAGTGTACTTTCAGGAACTTGTTTATCTAAGGTTACCGCAGCAGGACTGACAGGTAGATCATTAGGAAAACGTACCATAGCCGAGGTCGCAAAAGTATTGTCTTCCGGGATCCAGAGGAGCCATCCCTTGCTGCATTCCAGATGGCCAATCACATGTGCCTTGACTGCCCGAGGTTCAAGGCGCAGTCGTTTTTCTTCGGGAATGTGGATGAAACCAATTGCCCCGAAAACCCTGAACACGTCGTAGCTAGGCTTCACGTGGTACATCCCCTCGTATGGCGTGACATCCCCACTCGCCTTGTTCTGGATCCTGTTCAGGACATGATTCGCCCAAAGGAAAGCGTAGGACCAAAATGTCTTTGGCAAGGCGCTATCGATCAAAATTGTTCGTCCCATGTCTTGGATCGTGCGATTGAAGCGCTCAATCATACCGTTCTGAGAGTGGTGATAAGGTAGTGATTTTTCGGCTCTGATGCCCTTCGACACCAGGAAATCTTCCAGGACTTTGTTGGTGAATTCGCCGCCATTGTCGGAGCGGAGAGTTTTCAGACGTCGACCTGTTTGATGTTCCAGTCTTGTGATGATATCTATGATTTGCTTGTTAGCATCGGACTTGGCTGTCAGCACTTTAACAAAGGAGTAGCCGGTGGCCACATCTCTCAGAGTGAGGAGGTATTTTCCTCCATCTACTGATGGCACCTCGAAAGGGCCGATCAAGTCAGCAGCCATGATATCTAGGCGTTCGACCGGCCTATACGTCGGCGCCAGAGGATTAATCCTTGTGCTTTTGCTGATAGCGCATACGGGGCAATGTATCTTCCCGGCAGGCAGTTCGGTTGGAAGTCCATGGCCTAATTTCAATTTAATTAGCCTCCTGATATGTCTTAGACTGGCGTGGCCAAATAGTCTGTGCCAGAACAGGAGCACAACTTCATCTTTGGTCAGTGAATTCGGCTTCCACTGGAAATCTACGATTTTTCCGATCGGCTCTTTGAAAATCTCACTTGGGGGTATCACTTTGGAGGCAAAAACTGAGATCTTTTCATTCATCGAGTTAGAAGAAGGGGAATCATTGACAATGGGATGAATAGAGGAATGATCACGAAGAGAGGAAACAGGAGAGGAAAAAAAATTATGCTCCGGGATGTGACTGGGTGGGGCGGTCGTCCGGTCGCAGGCGGATGGTGGTATGTCGGCCCTGATCATTGGGAAAGGCATACACCACCGATTCTTTTTTGGTTCAAAGACACAGCTAAAGAGGTGGGACCCATTCGGAAGATAGACTTCAAAAGCTTCGGCGTGGTTGTCATAGAGGACAGTGGCATTAGCTTTGCGCAATGCAGCCATGGAGATCAGAGTGGTACGGGCATGCTCACAATAAAAGACATGTTTAAGGACAATGATCTGCCCATCAGGCCTTCGGAACTTCAAGTCCCCAATTCCGGTGATCTTTGCTCCACTACCGTTGGTAGCTACGGACACAGGGATTGGTTTAGAAAGGGAGCGGAAAGAATGAAGTAGAAATTTAGAACCGGTGAAACCATGGGAGGCACCGGTATCAAAAACAGCAACTTCACTCACAATATCCGAGCCCAGCGCCATGTTGCGAAAGTCCAGATCATCCAGGTCATCTGGTAGGACGCCAAGTTCCACGACCTGCGCCTGGACCCCCCCACTCGATTGGTGAGTCGAAGTGATCCCTCTTGAATTCTGTTGAGATGGGCGAGGCTGATATCGCGGGCGGTAGTAGTCCGCCATTTGTCTGGCGCGATTCTGGTTGTTTGTGGGGGGGGCGAGGGATCTTCGCGCGGTGTAGTTCGGGAATCTGGAGGAGGTGACTTGGAAACCGCTGGGAAGTTGACCGTAGATGGTACCGACAAGCGTACCGATGGCTTGAGATGTTGGTCCTTGCCGTCCACCGTGCTTGTTCTTGTGGGGGCAATCTTTTTGATAATGGTTTTCTCCCCCACAAGCCCAGCATTTCGCTGCCGTCAACGCGAAGAAGTCCAAGGCATCGCACCACTCAGACTCCTCGACATCCGTCAAAAACATCGAGGCGTCGAAATCGTCTGCGGGTGTCGATGTAAGGAGCACTGTCGGTGAGAAGGCCGAGCCAGCGGGAGCATTGAGTTGATCCGTCGACTGAAGATGTTGTTGACGGCTGACATCGTAGGCTGTGCAGATGGCCGCGAAAGTCGGACAGGTACCATTTGGGTCAAACTGGACCCCATTTTCTAGCCGGTTCTCGAAATCTGACCGATACGGCGCACCCGACTGCATGATCGCCCCTTGTAAGATGAAACCCAGGAACGAGTCCGCTCTGCAACTGACATTCACCGATTTCCATTCGGCGTACAAATCCAGGAGTGTAGAGGCGATTCCGGCGCTCGGAGCGTTTGGGTCAATCTTGAACGCCATGAAACGCCGCCAAATGTTCATCTGAGCAGCCCTCGAGACTGTTTTGAACTTCTTCTTGAGGGAGGTGTACATATTGTGGGCAGTATCGATCGATTGAAGATCAGGGACAAGAGAGTTATGAACACTTGCCAGCATCACCGCGCGGCCAATTCGTTCGAATGTCTTGCTGTTGCACGGTTGAAAAAAGAAGTCTGCACCCGACAGTCCAGTCCTAGAAAGTTCCTTCAAGGTCCTAGTCCATTGGCCGAAGTTCGACCCGTCCGGCTGCAGAACCTCTTCCGTCTTGATCCCCGAGACAATCGAAGAGACCGTCGACGAAACCAGCTTGTTCTGCTTCAATCGCATTTCTGAGAGTCTGAAATCGCGTTCGTCGGCTGTCTCTGCTGGGTGTGCGACAGGAGGGATGACAGGTCGATCATGTCGGAGGTGGGGTGGGATGGGGTTTTGTTGTGTCGACGGTTGGGAGGCTGGAGGTGGCGGGACGGGTGGTATTGTGGATCCAGATCCGGAAGTAGCTGGAGCCGTGGTCGCTCGGTCCGTCCGCAGGAGACTGCTTCCCCCCTGATGTGTTGAGGGGCGGATCGTCTGATCTCCCGGATTTGATGTGGATCCCCCGGCGCCTCCTGTGACCGAATCAAAAAGTTTACCCATGCGGTTAGCCCCATCCGGCTGATAGTCTTCGAGCGAACCACGTGAAGTAGTCGATCCGCTTAGGCTGGGTCTCCTGCCGGATTGGGAACCGGAGGTCGACACAATCCCGTGAGACATATGCAGTTGCACGGTCGGGAAATGAAGTTTGCGGTGGTGATGGGGGGAAGTGAGAGGGAAAAAAAGGGGAAGCGGAAAAAGGAAGTAAGGGGAAAACAAAAAGGGAAGAGAGAGTTGAGGAAAAGGATGTGGGAGGGAAACGTGAGATCGGAAGAGGGGAAAAGGTTAGGGAGATAGGGTGGGATAATCAAAGAAGGGAAAGGTTGAAAGTTGTGGATATTCGGGAAAAGAGGAAGAAAAAAAACGGTGTGGAAGGAAAAATAGAAAGAAGATATAGGGTTGTGAGGTGTGTAAGAGGGAAAAAAAGGCGAGGTAAAAGGAATGACCAGAGAGAAAAAAAACAACGAGGTGAGAGAAAGAAAAAATCTCCGTCGCTCGTTTCCTGTACGGCGTCGCTGTTATGCCAATAACAGCAACTTCCCCAGATGGCTAGTCTGCGTAGCCCTTCAGAAAATTTGCAACTCGGATCGAGTACACAATAGAGGTAGATGGGATGGTGAGAGGGAGAAAAGAAAAAAAAACGACAAGAGTTTAAAATTAGATAAACGTATGACGTGTTGATTCCGGATATGATGGTCGGCTACCTCGGAAGTTATTAGCTTCTGGAGTCAGTCGAGTAGGTGGGGATGGTGGGAGGATATCGATCGTGACAACAAAATTAGATGCAGTCTGACTTCTATGATTAGTAGAGAAACGATCGATAGATAGAGTGTAGAGGAAGCGTCAAAGGCTCATAACCTGTTCGCACCTCACACGGGAATCTCGGAGAAGAGGATGAGAATATGGTAGATTCCGTAAGGTCTCTGTCCCGGATCTGCATCCGGGGCAGAGATATATAGGGACTGCGGCGAGTCTCAGGGTTCGTAACCCTCTCTGGGTTACAACAGCAAGCCCGTCTGGGCACAATCTCAAGTCCCGCGTGGCCGAGTGCCACCAGGGGTTTAGATTGTGCCCAGAGGGCTTGATCGGACAGGATGGGCGGGGGGCAGGACTTGGCACATAGCCAAGTCCCGCTGGGCCGATTTCAAGCCCTGGGCCGATTGGTAGCCTGTGCACCAGCCCGGCACTGGACCCCGACTCAGCAGATGGCCTTCTCGGGGGCCGGCATGTTGGCGGGCGTGGCACCCTCGCTTGATTTCGGCCAAGCGAGGCTTTGTCCCGACCCCGGCCAACTTTAGCATGTGCCAACCGGGGGTTGGGATGGTGCCAAGCACGCTTTGGGATCGGCCAAGCGGGCTTTGGGATTGGCCCAGCGCACTTGGCCTTTTTTTGACCAAACTTTGGTGTGTGCCCAGACGGGCTTGCAACACCATATGTACATACTCCGGTAAAACATAATTTATCAAACAGCTTCCATAGTTTCACCACAGGCCTCTGATCACTTTGATTTGCCATCTGGATTGCCCCTATACATAAAAAAACAATTTCAAACCCATTTTAATTCATTCACATAAACACTGCTCTGGATCTAGATATCTCCAAATTCTAAAACAAAATCATGACCTTCAAAAAAAAAAACAGAACTAAAGAAAAAGGTTCATGGGATTGTGCTGGAGATGCAAAGTGGATAGAGATGAGAATACAAAACAAAGCAGATGCAAGAAAATTCTAGTGTGCACACATACATAATAAGTATGAAAAAAAAAATCTATGTGTTACTGTTCATTGGATCTTGAGTTTTTCTTGTCTTTTATTGGCACACATATTTATGTATATATGTATTAGGGATGTATATAAACGACAAAACATGGCCTCTTTAAGAAGAAAGAAAAAAAAAGCAACAACGTTAAGATGAGTGCATTATCTATGTAGTTAAGTATGAATCATTCAAACCCGTTTTTTTATTTTATTTTGTTTTGTTTGTGCTTGATGAGTTTTCTCTTTTCTTGCTATTTTTCTTTTCTAGTTTAACAAGTTGAATGCTTGCAATAAATAATATAAATATAAATAAATATGATAATATAGAGAATATGATATGAAGAGAGTGTGACAGTTCTACATACATAGTATGCTGTTACACGATACATACACACATACGTACATACATACACACATATTTGTATAGATAGATCTGACTAACTACTCGCATACATAGAGGAGAGGGATCGGTGGGCTTTTACAGTATGGATTCTTCACCTACTCCAGAGACATGAGCATTCCTACAGAACAATAAAACAAGAGAACATGTCAATATTGTAAACAACAAAGGTGTGGATCACAGCTCAAAGAGAGAGAAAGAGGTCTTACAATTCTTTGAGAGCTTTAGCGACTCCGAAGCTAGCAGCGGCCATAGCCTGTTTGACATGTTTAGAGAATCCATGTTGACCTTGGTTATGATTATGGAATCCGCCATCTTGCATCTGACTCAGCTTCTGACAGTTCTCGGTCAGTTCGGCGAGGATCCGCTGGGTCTTGTCGTCCGTCGGTCTGGCCGAGGAGGTTGAGGAGGAACAGCGGTCGACGATGGCCGAGACGATCTTGATGATCTGGTTCAGGTTCCGGTCCATCTCGTCCGTCGCTGCCGTCGAGGCCTGCGCTGTCCCTCGGATCGTCGTCAGAAGCGATTGGATCGAACTCACTATCGACTCGGTTTGTGTTTCTAGATAAACCTAAAAAAAAAATCAAAACAGAGGCTAAATTTGATTAGTGTTATGATCTAATGCATAGTAGTGGAAAGTAGCAATCAAGAAAGAAACTTGCTTTTAATTTCTCGACGTCTTCATCGGAATCAGCAGTGATCTCGACTGATTGTTCATTAGATCTAGCAGTTTCGGTGCGAGCGGATCTAGAGTCAGAAGGATTACGAGAACCTTGTCCCTCGAAATCATGACGCATAGGGACGGAGGGGACGTTGCGAAAGGCCCGGTTAAGCATGCCTGCCCTTGGAGGAGAGTCGAAGACTTTATCGGGGTTAGTTGAAGAGGAGCCGGATGCGGAGTCTCTGAGATCGGAGGCGTTACTCCCATCAAAGCCGCTCGGCGATCGAAGGTCTTCAAACTTGCTTGCGATCAGTTGGGTCCGACTGCCCAGCCCTCCAGGACTTTTCTCATTCAGATTCCGGCCATTCAAGCTCGGTTGGTTCAGGTTGGTCGCTAGGGCTCCAGGCCCTCGACTTCGGCCAAGGAATCCATTCATTTTACCGGAATGCTCCTCTTTAGGGGACGCTCCCGCGCCTTGGTTCCGAGGGAAATCGCGATCTCTGTCCTTGTTGATTCTCAAGGGAGCCGGCGAATCATCACTCCGACGTCCCAACGAGCCAATTCCGGGGGTGTGGTTGGGAGAAATCCCATTGTTTGTTGGCCGGAGGGGCTTCGAGGCTGTGGTCTGAGCCCCACCATTCTGGTGTGAATCATCGTCATCATACTTGGAATGGGCATTCAAGGTTTCACTCATCTCGATCTCTGCCTCGGTGGCCCGACGCATCCCGACTAGCTGGACCAATTCGACCATACTAAAGCTGAGATGACTAGCCGCTGCATCTAGAAGACTGATGGGCGACAAGCCAAGGGAGACGACATGGTTCTTGGATGCAGTGATCAAGTTACTGAGTGTAGCATTGATCCGGGTCTTCATCGTATCTAGTGACTCCTGCTCCTCAAGATTGAGTCGTCCAGACATGTTCGGATTAAGTTCAAATTGTTGAATATCTTCATCAATTGTCGAGACCGTATCGATCACCCTCCTCATGACCGAGATCAACTCGTTGGACACATTCGATCGCCCACTCCTTAATAAATCGTCTATCGAGGCTGTAAAGGAGGTGAAGTGGATGTCGACGATCGCACCATTTTGGGTGAGTGGTAACTTTTCATTTGGTAAGAACTCCTTGGGCGCATAAATTGTAGATGAGCCTGATCGCACAGGTTTTAGATACGATCAAAATTCAGTGACATTAGCCATTTGAGTGTGAAAGATTCGTGTGTTTTGTAACGGTGTTAGGCATGTAAAAAGTTGCTCACGTTTCAGATCGCGTAGCTCGGTCTTGGCAGCTTCATAGCGTCTTTTATGAAGGTCCACAGTATTTTCTAAATCTCGAATGGTCTCCTGAAAGCGATCTTGTTCGGCCAAAAGTAGATCTTGTCGGCTGTGCATCTGTCTCAACTCGTCAATGAGCTCAACTACTTCGGACTTGAGTCTTTCAACAACCGAGTCATCCGATCGATTGTTGCTATCCGATGTGGGTCTTGTTTGATGTGATTGTAAGCGTTGATTGAGATCGGAGATTTGTCGTTTTAGCTGCTGGATCTCTTGCTCAGCAGATTGTGATTTGGATTTTCTCTCGTCCAGTAGGTTTGCTTGTAGAGTCTTGATTTGATGCTTTTGTTCTTCGCATTGCTGAATAAACGGACGGGTTTAGAAAACATCAACAACTAAGAAGAAGAAGATCGGCCTACCTGTTTCCAATGGAGGATCTCTTCTTCACATTCTTCTAGCCGGGCAGAGTTTGAAGTTGATCGACTGCTATTGAGCTGAGTCTCACGAAGTTCTTTTTCGAGATTGATAATCTTAGTTTGCATCGTAGAGATTTGACGATCGTATTCATTCACTGATACTTTGGATCCATTGTTATTGCTTCGATTGATTGCGATGTGGGAGTCGGATCCGTTTCGTTTGTGGGAGAGGTATTTGATAGATGAAAGACTGCCGGAACGAGGGCGATAGCCATGTGGAGCAGGAGCCTTGAGAATATCGCGAGGATCGGGCTGATCAATTGAGGCGGTTCGTAATGGTGGTTCAAGTTTATTGACATCTACCGACTGGTCATCATAAGCATCATCATTATTCTCGACTACTAGAGTCGATTTGTCGGGAACGACCATATCCGTGGTGATGACTCCAGTGGCAGCATTCATGGGCGGATTGGGTGGTCGGCCGGGGTTGGATGGAAGAGAAGGTGGTGGTCTTTGAGAATCAGGATTGTATTGGTTTGATTTATTCCTGGAAGGAGGGGTATAATTTTGTTTTGATGGAGTTGGGTGCTGTGAAGAGGAATGAAGAAATAGTCAGTATAGTCAATATTTTGGTCTTGGGTGATTGTTTTTGTTTCGATTTACATCGGGCTGTAGGAATTCTGGGTATCGTCGTTCAAGTTCAAAGAATACATCGCTAGCCAGGTCTTGAACCGGGAGCGAGGCAGTGA